GTTTGCGGCTGTTCCGTACCCGCCAGCCAGCGTGTTTGCGGCTGTTCCGATACCCGCCAGCCAGCGTGTTTGCGGCTGTTCGGAACGCGCCAGTCGCCGGGTTTGCGGCTGTTCCGAACCCGCCAGCCGCCGGGTTTGCGGCTGTTCCGAACCCGCCAGCCGGCGCACCAAACATCTTTTGTTTTCCACTAGACTTGAGGCAGTTGATTGAAAGAGAAATGAGGGATGCACACGGGAGGCTTTGGGTGAGCCGGGCGTGATGCCCCCAAACAGCTGTGGGGCTGGCCAAACGCTGTTGCCACGGGTTGCACTGGCGCTGCCCACCGCAGACAACAGACGAAAACAAAAAACAAAAAAACATACACACGCAACGCGCACACCACGCAGAGTTCTTCCCTTTTTCTTTTTGTTTTTACATCCGGCCCGGCGGTGGGCACGGTACGGAGCTCACGTTGGCCGCCTCCGTGCCGGTGGCAGGCGGGCCCGGGCGTAGTCTTGTATCGCCGCCAGCGGCTCCTCCGGCTTGTGGATGAGGAGGTGCTGCAGAATGTCGTGCAGCACCGGCGTGATCTCCGGGTGCTCGGAGATGTACTGCGCGTTTCGCGCCGCCACTTCCCTCGCGTGCTTCTCGACGCGCACGCGCCCCTCATAGTCGAAGAGCTCCTTCTGAAGGGCCGCTGAGTCCATCCTGCCTGTCGGCGCAGACACCCCGCTACTCCTTTGCTTGGGAAGAGCGACAACACACACGGGACGCAGGGAGCGGAGTGGAAGGAGCGGGATGCCGCCGCCACTGCGGCCAGCGCGGGCCGGACTCGCCACTCCGTCGCATGGACCGCAGGCGAGGCACGCAAACAGACACACACACACACATGCACACATGCACATGGAGGAAGGGAGAAACTACAAAAAAAAAGTGGGGGAGTTCTGCAGGCGCAGGGCAGTACTGAGTTGTGAGGCGCAACACACAACATTTTCACCCATCTGCCTTCTGCGCGCCTCCCCCAATGACGACACTGCACCCCCGCATTAAATCTGCTTGGTCCCGCAGATCCCCAGGCGAGAAACACGCTTTCACGCCCGGCGTTCACCCCCGCAGGCAACTCCGCTCAGCACAACCACCAGCAGGCCGCACGCGTCGCCTGCCAACGTCCCCGCTGTTCCTAGGGGCGTGGTGCCGCATGAGCCGCGAAAGGGCGAGGGCGGCGGTGGCGCCCGCAGTCAGCAGTGCCGCGGTGCTTCCGCAGCAAATATACTTCGCCGCCGTCAACCTGAGCTACCAGTTAAACAGCAAGAACGGACGCCGAATCCGCGGCGCCTAGCCGAGGGGGCCGTGAAGCAGCCGCCTCCCTTCCGCTCGCTTCAGCAGCACCACCACCGATTCCGTCGCACATGCTGCTGTGGGCGGCCTCCACCATCACCACGTAATGGACTTTTGGCTGCAAAGCCAAGCGAACTCCAGCGCGAGGATGCAACGCCGGTATTTTTGCTGTTCCATACAACTCTGGGCCCTTAGCATCGTGTGTTTTTTGTTTCTTTCTTTCTTCGCATATATTGCTCCCTCTGAAGTCATTCTGTCTCCTATCATCGCTCTCTGCTGGTCCGTGTGTCGTCCTCGCTGGAGACGGGGGGAGCCGAACGTGCAGGCTCGGCCGCCACTGCCAGAAAACTAAAGCGCCTCGCGGAGGGCGCTGCAGCGACGCCGGCTCAAGCTGCAGCGGGCACCGTCGCATGCGTCAGCCTCGCCGTGGTGCGTCACAGGCGCCTCAACGCACCACATCTTTGACCGATCCGCTGATGGCATGAGTGGCGGTAACGGCGGTTGTGGTCGCCGGAAGATTTGCCGCGGTACCCTCCCCTCCTCTCCCACCCCACACCCCCACCACACACCCATATACACGGCCGCGCCTCGTGCACGCCCGACGGCATCATCTCCTTCCTTCGGCGCTGCCAGCGGAGGATGCTGCGACGGCGACTTCTCTCACCTATTGGGCCAAGAGTACAGCGCTGGCACGGCCCCCGCCCAAGTTGCTCTCGCCCCCCCCAGCAGACGTTCGGCAATTGCCTTTCTTTTCTTTTTTTTCCCCTTCCTTTTCTTTTTCTTTCGTTCGTGTGTCGCATGGCGCTCCCCTACGCCTCTGCAGAGAGGTCGTCGTCGTCGTCGGTCCCCGACTCGGACTCCACCGGGTGGGAGATGCGGACGTCGCGCAGCATGTCGCCCACCTCCGCCCCCGGCTCCTCCACCGCACGGCCGGGAGAGGCGACGCGGCGCCGCGGCGCGCCATGGGCGTCCTCCGGCGTGTCGCCGCCCTCCCCCTCCGGCTGCCCGCCGCACGCCGGCCGCCCCACGCAGCTCGAGGAACGCTTCCGCCGGCGCCGCGTGCCGCGCGAGGCGACCGCGACCACCTCGTGGCGTCGTAGCGAGTTCTGGACGAATCGCAGCAGCCGCTCCGCGTCCAGCGACGGCGGTGGCGCCGAGGAGCCCACCGCCCCCACGGGCGACTGGCCGCTGTGGGGCAGGGCGGCGCTGCTCGCCGCGAGCCCCGGGGTGGTGAGCAGGATGTAGCGGTGGACGCACAGCAGGGCGTCGCGGTGGCCGGCATCGTACGAAAGCACCGCGGTGCGGTACAACTCGCTGACGCTCTTTGCCGCATCAGAGAAACGCACCCGCAACGCCTCTCGGCCGCACTTTGGGTTGCTCGACATGAAAACTTGTGGGCTCTAACGCACACACACAGTAACACGGGGGAGGAGAGGGCAACCGTTTCAAAGCCGCCGCGCAAACACCAAAAAAAAAACAAGAACAAAAAACCAACAGCGTCAAGAACGCAAAGGCTCCACGCCACAACACACAGACAGATGCATGCATGTACGTTGCCGTGTATAGCGTGGTGTTAAGACTTTTGTTTTCATTTCGCCCTCCCGCCTCGTGCTGGAGCTGTGCGTTTTAGAGGGAAGAGGAAGGCCATCGTAGGCGCCTCCCAACTTCAAGTTTAGAGCGGCGTGTCACTCCCAGAACACCATCGGGGAGATGGGCGCGTCCGTGCCCGCGCAGCGGGTAGCACACTAGCTCGCCTCGGAGTGTGTGCAGCTCCCCACCCAGCGCCCGGACAAATGCATGGGGGGCACACGTATCCCACTTCTTGATGGTGTTCTCCGGTGAGATGAACACGTCGCAGCTCTGCGCGGGCGGCGGTCCTGCGAGCATCGATGCGACAAGAAACATCAGTTTGTTGCCTGCGCCCCTTGCCTCATGCTGCTCGATGGGAGAAAGCTTCCCAAGCACCCAAGCAAAGCGGCTGCCTTCCGTTGTACTGGAGCTGGCGGCCCGCAGCACGCTGCCCGCAGCAACCGGGCCAGAAGCCGCAGCCGGCGCCACACGCTGCCCCTCGTGCACGATGAAAGGCTCACCCGAGCCCAGGTTCCACACATAGGAGAGGCTCGTGTTGCTGCCGGCGGAGGACATTTGCTGCGGTCTGAAGCGAAACACGCGGTTCACCACCCCAGCGACCGGGGCCCCGTCGAGAGTGAGGCCCACAAGTGTCAGGGGCACGTCCCACAGTCCCTCAACGAAGCAGTTTGTCCCGTCAATGGGGTCGATAAACACACCGACCCTCTCGCGCAGCTCCTTCCACGTCGCGGCAGTCACCCGAGTCCTCGTGCGGCGTGCGTGGGCCTCAAGCGCGGCCTGATGCGGAATCGCAGCGAGCCCCGTGTAGTACTTTTCCACGCAGCGCGCCGCCAGAGATCTCACGGTGCCGCTTCCCGCCTCCTCCTCGCCGACAATGGTAAAGGGCATGTCAGGAAATGCGTCCCTCAGAATCCGTTCAATGACAGCCTGCGTCACGAGATCTGCGGTGGTCACAAGGTCGCTTGCGGCGTCACCGTTCTTGTGGCGAAAGTGCCCCTTGACGCTCACCGTCACCGCGTGGCGCAGCGAGCTCAGGAGGACCTTCTTTGTTTCGGGGTCCTGATCCATGATGGCGACACCGGGCCGCCGCGTGTCGAGGTCCTGCACCTTCAATAACTCCAGTGCGATGTACCGCTGGGCCGCCAGCGCCCCCCTCACGCAGACCGTGAGCAGATGCAGAAGATCCAAAGACACCATGACACGCTTTAGTGATTACTTTAGTGCCGCAACGTCACTGGAACAACCTCCTTGAAAGCGGCGGGAGGGAAAGAGCAGCAGAATGGGCGAGGGAACGCGGCACCACATGCACAATGGCCCCCCGCGTAACACACACATAAATACACAAGCAAACACACATACACAGAGACGGTGTCCCTCTGCCTCCCTCCCTCCCTCTCTCTCTCTTCCTTGCGCCGCATTGCTCTCGCTGCCAGGAGCAAACAACCGTTGCGGCGGCAGCGAGAGCACACACCGCTGCACTGTCAAGACCCATACTTCGGCAGGCAACCGACCTTGTAGCCCACCTCCCGCAGCACCCCATTTAGCGTGACGGCGCTCCCCCTCCACAACGACGCCGGCGGCTGCGGCGCCGTCGCACGCAGGAGGGGGGCGGAGCAGCGCATCACCGCCGGGACGTACACGGCCGCGCTTCGTTCACTCTCCGTGAGTTCTGCGAGGCAACTCTGCGGGGGCCGCAGCCAGTCCCACTCGTCAGGCGCCAACACCCCCGTGGCAGACGGCACCGCCCTGTCGCAGGCGAGCTCCAGCAGGAGAAGCGTGGGGTTCCGCTGCGCCAGCAGCTGCTGCCGCGTGTCGGCGAACGTGACGGCGTCAGCGCGCAAGAGCGAGACATGTGCCAGCGCCTGCCCGCGCGCCGCCGTGAGAAGGGCCGTGGCGTCACTTCCCCAATCGACGGCCTCCATCTTGTGTGCCGCGGCGAAGGCAACGGTGCCTGCCGCAACTTCCTCCTCCAGCGGGGCGGCGCCCGTCGCCGGCACGACGGTGGCGATGCGGTACGCTGCGGTGGTGTCGTCGTCGTCGCCCGCCACGCCGCGGAGGAGAGCGACGACGCAGCGGAACCGGTCGCCCAGCGAGTTCATTCGGCCGCGGCCGCTGCAGCTGCCGCCGCGGCAAGAGGCCCCAAGAGGAAAAAAATCTAAAAGGAAAGAAAGAAAAAAAAGACGACGGCGGGAATAACCAGGGAGGGAAGGCGCGCGGGCCGCGGACGACGAACGCGCACGGGGCGAAGGCGGCCCGACACCAACGGGCGCCCACGCGCAGGCGGAAGAAATCAACCCGTCAAGGCGGGGCCGCGGCAACGCGCGAGCCAAAAAAAAAAAAAAGAAAAAAACTTGTAATAATCAATAAAAACAACAACCACAAATGACACGAATTCGGCAGCAATCGCCTCGGCAGCGGAGGGGCGGATGGGGGAGGGCGCACGAGAATTGCGGCCCGCCCCCAGAGAGCAAACACACACACACACACCATTACACTTGCACTTATACATACACGCACACCGCCCCACTCCCGAGTTCTCAAATCCACGCCCGCCGCGAGAAAAAAAGCGACCCTCCCCGAATGCAAAAGACAGCAGCGCGGAAAGGGCGGCCGAGCATTTCTACAAGCGCAGTGGATGCGGCTCATACGGTACGGTGCGACCTCGGTGTGCTGCTTGCATTTTTCGGTGTTCCCATCACGCCCGTCCTTCGGCGCCAGTTTTACCACGTCATTTTTATTTTTATTTTTGTTTAGTTCAATCCTCTCTCCTACTCTCCCCGGGTTTCCTGCTTGCGGGGTGCCTTCGTCCCGGTTCACGCGAAGGAGGAATACAGGCAAGACGTAAAAATATTTGCTATCATTATTTACTTATTCCGTTCTTTTCGGTTTCACTTTCGAGGCCCCACACCGCTCCTCGTGAGAAATACCACAGACACACGCTTTTTTGCTTTCACTGTTGTGCAACATTAGTAACGCACGCCCATATATATATATATGCGGTTTTATATAGTAAAAGAGAGAGAAGAGGGAGGGGGGACAGGGGGAGGTGCCTCTCTGCACGCGGGCACCGAGGTGCGGCGGCAGAGGGACGTCATGCTTCGATGGACGACTGCTAGGTACTTTTCACTTTCCTTTTTCTTTTTCCATTCTTTTTTTTCTTTTCTGTGCCTTCCGCCGCGTAGACGCAGATACTACTTGCCGAGGTAGCCGACAACGTTGTCGACGAGGTTGTACAGCAGGCGGCCCCCGAGCGCGGGGTAGCGGGTCAGGAGCGAGCGCGTCAGACTCTCCTCTTTGGCCGCCTGGCACGCCTCAATGGCGCGCACCGCGTCCTCCACAAGCCCGACAATCGTGTCGTGGCAGGCGTCCTCGGGGGCCGCGCGGGCGGCGAGGCGAAGCGCGTAGGTCTTCAGCATCTGCAGCGTCGGCTGCAGCCGAGTGGAGTAGTGAAAAATGCGGGCCGTGGTGCCGCGGCTGACCTTCACTTTTGTGTGGAAGGCGTCCCTGTTGTTGAAGACCAGCGCGAGGGTGGCCATCGCCATCACCTGCGGAATGGCGCAGAAGGCAAACAGCGATGGGTCCCGCAGGGACGCGATGTACTCAACGACGTGCGGCACGTGCACCAGGGCATCCGCCACCATCGCATTGAGGCACTCCACGGCCTTCGCCTCGTGCGGCTCGTCCGTAAAGGCGTGAAGGTCGTCGGTGTACTGCCCCCAGATCTCGCGGGGCCAGAAGACGCGCGGCGGAACTTCGCGGATGTCCTCGTAAAAGTCACGGATGATGTTCGTCTTCTGCAGGAAGAGGCCCATGTGGTTCGCCTTCGTAAGATCGTCGGCCAGCCGCAGATCCTCCAGCCCACTCGAGACGAAGAGCCGTGTGAGGCCGTGGCCCACAAGCCCGGCGACGTAGTGGCAGTAGAGGTCGTAGTCCGCCCTTGTCTCCACCTTGCGCGCGAGGAAGTCGCACATTCCGTTTGCCATCCGCTCGCAGATGTCCGAGATGACGTCCTGGTAAGCCTTGGCCAGGCTTGCGTAGGCGCCCGTGACGTGGGTGTAGCGCTCAAGCAGCTCGCGCTCGCGGCCCGCGCCAACGCCCGTCATGCACCACGCCCTGTCGCGCAGGTGCTCGTGAAACTTCGGCAGCTCTCGCAGCTTAAACTCGACGGAGAGGCTCATGTCGTCCTCCACCGTGTCGAGGGCGCGGAGGACGAGGTAGAAGATGCACACGGCGTCCCGAAGCTCCTCGTCGAGCCGCATGATGACGAGCGCAAAGGAACGTGAGACCGACTGCAGTATTTCGTAGCAGAAGCGGAAGTCATCGTCCTCGCGCGGGAACCTCCGCTCAAGCTGCCGCATCATCCACTTCAGCCGCAGCATTGCGTACAACTCCTCCACGTACTCCATTTCTGCGGATGTTCCTGCCCTATGCGTATTTACTCCTTTGCTGTTGTTTGTTTTTTTTGTTTGTTGTTGTTTATGTTGTTTTCGTTTTTTTTCTTCTTTTTAGTTTTTTTTTCTTTTATTCTACGGGGCAACGGCTGGCCGCTGCTGTTCCTACGGCAAGCCAAAGGACTCGCGGGCGTGTGTGTGGGTGGGGGGGGGTGGGGGACGGTCTCCTCCAACCCGTTTGTACTGCACTACAGCGCTACTACCGACGGGTGCTTGCGGCCCACGCCACACGGAAAAGAGGAGAAAACAACAGCGACACAACAACAGCGAGAAGCAAAACGAAGGATGACGGCGACGAGTGCCACAGGCACGCAGACGCGGCGCGGGAGGAGGGGGCAACACCCACCCATCCACCCCCTCCGCCCCCCGTCGTCCACCTCGAGCATCAGCCACCCGCTCCGCTTCTTCCGCAGAGGCCCCACAAACCAGACCTCCGGAAACACACCCACGTACACGAAACACGCACGCACGCACGCACAGACGGACAGACAGGCAGATAAATACAGAGAGCGCGCTGGCGGTGGGCGGGGTGCATAAATGCGGGGTACGGGAGGACCGCCACTGCGGGCACACCGCCGCTCTTCCCAGAGGCGCGCCCCCGCGTGACGAGGAAGAGGGGGAAATTGAAAGCAACTGCAAGCCGACAAATGCGGGGATAAACGAAACACACAAAAAAAAGGGGGAAAAATGGGATTGGGAGAGAGTGGGATAGAAAGAGAATGCAGCTCTGCTGCAGCAAGCGGGCGGATGGCGCAAAGCCCGTCCTGTCGCGTCGCCCTCCCCCCTCCCTCCCCCGCGCACTCCCACACATGCGGTGGAAAACGCCGGACGACGACCGAGAGGAAACAAAACACGCACAAAAAACACCGCGATCGTAATAATTTATCTTTTTGTCTTTTTGCTTGCATATATATATATATATTACTTCTGCCCCACTTTGCCTCACCGCGGGCGGGCGGGCGGGCGGGGCAGAAACAAACGAAAGAGAAGAAAAGAAGGGAAAGGAAAAAAAAAAAAAGAAGAAACGG